CCCTGCCAGCTTTTGTTTCAAAGAGTTGACTAAGACTGACCTCTGCCAGGAGCCAGAGTGACCCTCAAATACCCTTTCAGAAACCTTCCCTCGCCCTTATGGGTGGGGCACGTGCCTCACAAACTCTTTGTGTTTGCCTTCCCCACCTGTGGTGGTGCCTCTGTTCCTCAGCTCAAAGTTAGGTGGAGGTCCAAGCCGTATCTCTAGGCTGAAATCAGCATTTTTACCTTCTCTTGGGCTTCAGGGTGTTCTGGGTGGAGGCTCAGCATCGTCAGACAGTCCACAGCCTGCCCTGGAAACCCCACCAGGACTCATGGGGACAGGGAGATGCAGAAAGATAACCTGTTTGGGGAGGCTAGTGACCTAGCTAGCAGCAGTGAGGAACATGTATTTTGGGAGTCATAATTGGTTATCTTCCAAATAAACAGTATTGCTTATAATTTCCAAAGAAAAGAAACTACATGTGGATCAACAGCAAACCTGTAATCAGTTGTGCCAAGAAAACTATCGAGCGTGATTCCCCAAAGCAACATTTTTATCATAAAACCAACAAATAGACAAGTTCAAATTCACGTTCTGTATCCATCTACAGGAAGTCACTGAGAAAGCCAAAAGTGTATAAGACCTTTATTCAATCCCTGTCAGAATTTAGGAAGGCTGGTGGAACTGGGGCTGGTGCCTTGTGTCATAATTGAAGGAAAACTGTTGCCAAACAACACTATCTACCAGAGAGCATAGAATTCCCTGAGCAGAATTACTACCAACCAGATTAGCAAACGTGTGCTGCAGAAGGAAATTCGACTCAGCTTTCCAGGATCTAAGTTTATAGAGGAACTGGGAAATTACCCTAACTGACATATGGCAAAGTTGAAGCTCTAACTTCAAGAAAAGTACTGAACAACCCAGGAAGCACTGAGGAAACTAATGGCAAAATACTAGTGCACAAAGCATAAATGCAATAATTTCAAATAGAAAACACTAACGAATCTGAGTTAGTAAAGCTAGATTCGCCACCAGTAGTCAATATTTATACGTCACAGCTCTTTCCAGATGACAACATTTTGTATTTGACTAAAACTATAATTGTTCTCATATGAGGAAACCCAAAGTGAGGATGAATGAGACTATGAAATCTTCAGTATGCTTTCAAGAGATGCCAAACAGATCAATGTCATAAGAAGAGACTGATTTAGACAATCAACACCCAGAACTGTGAAGCACTAAATCTCATATCCAAATAAAAAAATGGAAGATTTAGTAAAACAAATAAATGTAGAAACTGGCACTTACTGACCAAGTTAACGTATACATCATATACATAAGATAATTGATATGAGCAAAGTTTTATATCAAGTTTAATTTACCAATTAAAGAAACACAGCACAGACCCCATTGTCTAGGATGCCTTCTCTTGTTGCTCATTTGGCTTTGCCATCAATGTCACTATGAAGACAAAGTGCAGATGAATGCAACACAAGTATCTAATGACTTGACGTTACACCAGGAGACTCACAGAAATGGTGAGTGTAATAAAATATAGCTCATGTGCTCAACAACTGGATGTACATGCAAGTACAGACAAAGGTTTTGGCCAGGGTTCCAAAAAGGAATCAAACATACATTTGGAAAAGAAATGATCTGCTATAAACTTCATACACCCTACCCCAAAAGGAGAATCCTTACAAATCTCAAGTTTAGCCCGTGTAAGAAGTCTAAATGGATGAATCTTGAAATATGGAATGGATCTCAAAATATGAAAGGAATTTTAGTGTCCCAACAGGCAAAAATGCATTTACCACAGGAAGCTGGATTTGTTGAAAAATCTGTATCTTAAGAACTAAACTAAACATCATTAGCATTTCCATGTTGATACATGGATGTGAAGACTGGAAATGCATCAGAGATAAAAACAGGCATCTGTATACTTCTGAAAGCAAGTAGACATACAAGGGAACAAAACCCTGGCAAGTGTCAGGATGAATCCGTTAGCTTCATAACCAAAAGTTATTCAGAAAGGTAGGAGAAAATTTCTAGGATATGTATGAAGAATGAATATAGATCTAGGAGATGCTAGGAGAGGAATATGCAGAGGAATAGGGTCAAAAAGACACTACTCAGAACAAGGAAAATTCATGGGGCTTCATAATATAAATGACAGAGAGCAGCCAGAAACAGACTGGAATGGCAGAAGTCATGCTCATGGCTGTAGCACATTTAAAAGGAATGGTTCACTTGTGATGTAGGGTCAGTTGAACTCTAGTAATACAAAACTGCTTGCTGGCACATTTGGTTCTAAATTAAAGGAGGGGGTAAAAGGGATATGATAGGGCAGTGGCTGTAATTATGGCCCCTACAACTATACTGACCAGAGTTGTGAATTCCTTCCTCTATAATAACTCCTAACCAGGAGTAACTCCGGGTACCAGCATATCCATTCACCAAGAACTGCATCTCTCCCCTTGGTCCAGCCCTTTATTTCTATCTCTTGCCCATGCTGTTGCCACCTGGGCCATGCATACTCACAACCAGGAGTGGGCAGTGGGAAAGCTCATCTGTGCTCCCTTCCTCAGAGGGAATGGGAAGGCTTGTGAGTGAGTAATAAGCCAAATAACTGTATCACTCATTAGCCATATTGTTTGATAGCAACAGCCCCTCCCAGTGCACCAGCTTCCTTGCATGCAAATTGAGACTGGTTAATCAGGGAACTCTTCACGTAAAACTGGTTTATGCAATCTGACCATCCTTGAAGCTGTTCTTGCAGAACTTGTATTATTAACTATAGGAAGGAAGAGGATATTCATTTAAACCCCTTTGGAAAAGCAGCTTTATTTCCATTTCCAATTTTTCCGAGGGTATTGGAAGGAACAAACTATCCCTGTCTAATGGAAAAAGTTCCCAGGCTGTGTTTCTTCATGCACTGGCCATTGATGCCCAGGAGTGTCCTACATTTGTGACTCTTGACCTCAGCTTCATTCTAACTTTATCATAATATGATACATGTGATTACATAAATATGATACATGAGATTATATGAAACATATTCTGGAGTTCCACAAGGCAACACAAATGACAAACCTGCTCTATTCTTCCCATTTGGAAGAGTGTGATTGCATCAGATGAAGCAATTTGATATGCTAACTAATCTCTAAAATTATGCCTAGAGGTTGGATTTTTGAGTGATGGCTCCCTCATGTACACAAAAATTCAGGACAAGTAGAAGAAAATGAGGTTGTAAAACATGCTAATAGTTTAGCTCATTGCTACCAGAGAAACTTGCCAGTATGATTGCAAAAGAATAACCTGACATGATTTGTATTCTTTCAAGGAACTACAGCCTTATCATGGTCTGAACACTAAGACAACTGAGACGAAAATAAGGCATAGATTGTTTGTCAGTTTGAAAAGACTCCCCTCTTAATGCAAGAGAGAAAAAGTCTCTCTGTGGGTATGTTGCAGATTCCTGCCCATGTTCTTCACATACTAACCTGGGATTATCACTTCTACACTTATATGCTGAGGGACCAAGTAAATCCCTCTACTATCTTATTTTTACTGGGACTGACCTCCAAACAGAACAGGAAATCTCTTTGTAAGCAAATTCCCATAACCAGTCCCCTTGCTGTTTAGTCTGCATTGGATTAAGCAGTGACTTGCTAGCTTCTTTGATTGGCAACTATAGTACTATGAAAACAAATGCACAGAGCAAATCTCACCAGAAAAGCCTCCCAATCTGCAGACCCTTTCAGCTTTATTTGGACTGAAACTTGATGATAGCTCTACTAGACAGGAAACACTCACCCCTCCTTTCTAATATGGCACTACCAGGAGAGCACATTTTCTCACAGACCAAGTAGCAGAGCTGAGAGCAGGGGAAAGAACAGGAACACCAGAGACCTCCTACAATACATGTCTCAAATTTAAGCTGTTGTAAGACACAGAAGCTGACAACACTATTTATTTACCCTGCACTTAATTCTTTGATTGAGAAAGAACGTGGTTTATGCTATGCTTGAAACTGGGTGCGATATGGAGAAAGCAAAGCAAAAGTATCCCAGGCATTTTAAGTCCACCATATGGTAGAAGCTGGAAGGAGCAGCAAAACATTTTCCTTGTTTTTTCACTGGACATAACACACTGCTTGTTAATGACACTTTGCAATTCTGTATCACCAGGAAGAATCCCTCAGGTGTTTAGGACTGTCTTTGAAGCTGTAAGAACTCACAGATACACAGAAAAGGCTGTACAGCACGCAACACTGGCAGAAAATCTTAAGGTAAGCATGCATGAGACAGAAAAGGAGTTGGGTGCATTATTCTGCTATTCTCTAGCACATCTATTAAGACACATGATACTTCTGTGAAGTGACCACAGACTGAAAAGTCAGAGAAATTAAATATTTATTTTTGAGGCCAAATCAGACACATCACATAGTTGAGCTAGCATTAAACAAAGGAGCCACCAGCAGGTGTGAAGTACAAATCCTGTCCTTCTTTTGCATCATATGCATTTGGCACTATACCTTAAACCTTATCAGACATGCCAGCCAATTGCCCCAGTTGCTTAGAATATCCTGAGTTTCCAGTTCTCAGATGTATTCCTTTACTATGGTTGAATCCACATCTTTCCAACAGATAACCTCTGCTACATACTAGATGCTGTATAGAATCAATTATTCTAATAATACTTGAGAATTAAAAAGAATAAAAGATGGATCAGTAACAGGTTTGAAATTATGCAGCCACCTACCTATGCTCAACAAATTGCCTCCAAAGAGTCCTGGTAATTTGAGGAAGGTAAATCACAGCTCCATGCCTAAGTCAGCAAGGCATTTGCACTCCATCTGGAAATGTTAAATGCTGGTGCCCAGCTATACCTGACCAGGCTAGACAAGGTCCAGACTAAGCTCTCCTACCTAAAAGTCCAATAGGAAGGACACAAATAAAACTTCTATGAGATTCTCTAGCTTTTTTTTAACTAAAGAAATGGAGGTGGCCACTTACTGTGAAGCAGCAGGGTATCAAATCCAGGAAGCACCAGGAGGACCATAGATTCTTGCTTCTCACTCTCAGTCCCAGCTATGTTCTGACTTGTTATCTGACTTTCCTTCTGCTGGGTCTCTTACCCGCTACATTTGGCATTCACTTTATTCTTGATCTCCAAGGTTTCCTTTGACAGAGTGAAAAGCAGGAAGGGGTAAATTTCATCATCCCATTCACATGATTCATATTACTCTGAAGCACATTTCCACGCCTGCTTTCATACAATTCACCTGAAGACACTTAAAGAGGCACTAGAAAAAGTATTCTTACAGGCAAGAAAGCAGCTGCCTCATGTTGGCCTGCACCTACCTTTGGTGTTGGGTACCTACATTAGCCACTTCTTGTGAATATCATCTCCTGTGCCAGATGGCCACAGGCTGATTTTGCAGATCAGCCACTGAACTTCTGTGAAAAAGAAAGAAAAAGAGTTAGGCTTCTTAGTTAGTTTTCTGGGATGCGTGAAGAAAGTCTTCACTGGAGCTGGTAACAACTCATCACCACCAGCAGGGCTGCTCGCAGTGCTTTCTCCCAGACAGCTCCAGGGATGGCTGGATCCCTTCACAGGATGACATAATTCACTAAACCTGCAAAAAGCTACACCTACCAATGGGGTGTGTGTGGAATCTTTCTGGTATTTTAGGAAGTTGAATTGCCTCAGCAGAGGGCAGTGATGCCAGAACTGCCACAAGAGAGGGCAGGGCTCATGACCGTGGAGTGAGGGAAAAGGGCCTCCACATTTGGCAGCAGGAAAGCATCATGCTGGTTTGGCTGTCCATGGAAGTGTAGCCTGAGCCTCCTGCCAAATCCCTAGATCACCAGGCCAGAGGCAAGCAAACCTGCAGTGCTCCTAAGCCCTGCCTGCTGAAGCTGGCACTGTGCCTGGCACCCCAGTGTGGTTAACTGGGGTAGGAAAACAGCAGAGCTGGCTGGAGAGCAGGGCAAAGGGACACTTGCCAGCTGGGGCACAGCTCCAGGGTTGTCCCTCACACAGCTAGGAGAGACAGGTCTACATCTGCAAAAGAGCATCAGCCTCAGCTGGGGATGATGCCCTAGACTAGATAACCATCCTTGCCTTCTGCTTGGAGTACAGCAATAAGGGGGGATGTCCCCTATCTGGCAGAGGGAAGACCTGACACTGGGTATCCTGCCACCACAGAGGGGTTAGACTAAAGTTAAATCTCTATGTCCACCAGCTGCACTACTTTCTTGGTTTTTTGTTTTTGGTTTTTTTTGTGGTCGGGGTACGACTGGGACATTTGTCAGAGCTCTCATTCATGGATGCCATCAGGGCTTAAGCATGATCTGGGTATCTACTTACTGAGATCAGGAAGGGAAGGGGCTAAAAAAAAAAAAAAAAAGAAGAAAGAAAAAACAGAGGCAGTCCCAGGCATGCCCAGGAGCAGGCCTTTGGGCACCTCAGGAATTTTACTGGCAGGAACATAGGCACTTGCAGACTTCAGACGCCTCCAGGGTTAGGCAGTAGCTGAACAGGGGTTTTTAGGATCTGAATATTGGCCGCAAATGCCTGTGAGGCAGTTAGGCAGAGCTTACATGCCTAAACCTTTTCTTGTGGCTCTAGCCCTAAACTAATATTATGGAAAATACCAACAATTATTAGGGACTTCTTATCAGATTGGATACATATTTCCTTTACATAACTTTACCATGGCCTCATTTATGTGGTGCTTAGAGAGGATGAATACCTGTTCTGCATGAGTAATTATGCCAAAGGCTCGTGTGAGGGAGGTAGTTTATGACCGCTGAATAAGGCCAGCTATGTTTACCTATACAGCTTCATCACTTAAACCAAAAATTGGCCTTACCTCTAAATCTCCCTCATTGCTTCATTTGCCTGATTGCAAACAGATCCCAGAATATGCAGTTGCACTAAGATGATTGATGCCAAGATGCTGCACTGAAAAGGAAGAATTCTTTTAAGTGTTATCACGACCATGAGCATAAGCAAAGCCGTGTCACGTGACAAAATGTAAATAGAGCATTTCTTAGAAAAGCCATTTATTTGCCCCCATGATTTATTATTCAGTGACATGTAGGCTATTTTTTCTTTGTTACTGGCACTCATGTTCATAATAACAAGGTACTTGACTTGAAGGTATTTGGCCAACCTTTCCAAAGTGCTATGTAAGCAGTAATCAGAGAGAGCTAGGCTTGCGAGTCAACAAATTGCTCTCCCATGCTGATCAAACAGTCTTGGCATCTCTATAAAAAAAAAAATACAAAACCAGATTTTGGACTGGCTTACCCAGTTTTCTCTCTAAAATTTTTTATTGTATTTGCATTTGGCAGAGTCCAGGCTTAAAATAACCAAAGGTGACAGTTGTTTTATTAGCAATATTTTACATGTGATTTTCATTTACATTTAGAAGGATATATGAGATAGCCAGTTAGCCTCCAAAGTTCTTGTTGCCATAAATTGGGTTTCATTTGCTCAATCTAGAGGCAAATGCTTCTCTCATTTTACACCATACCTCCACAGCCTGCAGTAGAAAGCAGTCTAATACTTGGGTCAAAGTGAGTCAGCTCAGTAGAGTTGAGGTTTATTGTGAAAAGCTTTCATTCCAACCTACTCCAAGTTGTTACTATTAAAGCAAGTAACAATAAGATATACCGCACAAGCTGCTTGCATTACCAGAGGGGAGAACTCAAATCTAAGTGGGATTTATACTCAGTTTCCATCGTTTATGCCCATCATATGTGCCTACAAACCAGGGCCTCAATACAAAATATATATTCCCATGTTTAATCTTGTTACTTCGCTGTGTAAATTAATGCCTTAAAATGAAATATCTGTAGTTGTGTATCATCTCACTGCTTCTGCGTGCAAAGTGAGTAGGGCTGCATGAATAATTGCATTTATTTTCACTCTGACTGCTGAATTCAAAATATTTTGGAAGCTTGCGTTAAACGGGTGGAACTCCCCTCTCTTCCCTCCTCTTAATTTTTTTTTTTCCATGAAATAAAAAAAGAGGAAACCTCATGTGCATTGAAAAGCTCCTTCTGACCCCCAAAATGAAACACTTCATTTTTGGACATGCATAGTAAAAGCAAAGGAAATTAAAAGGCCAGATTTCCTAAAGCAAGAAGTGGTGTTCTCCCCCTTCTTATTCAGTAGCCAGTAGGCAAGAGATAAATTTTTTGGTTTCCTGAGGTCTTTAAAACTGCCATCTCCCTTCAGTGGAGATTCCACTCACCATCCCTCAGCTTAAGGGGGACAACCAGGCTGTGACTTTCCATGCAGCTTGCCTGCTGTGCAGCTTTCCTCCACGTTGCCTGTTTTGTGCTGCCCCAGGCATGGGAGCAACTCAAGGGAAAATAAGGTGAGGTGTCACTGCCTGAACCAGATGCCTCCAAAGTAGCAGGTTATCCTGCTGCAGACAAGATGCTCCCCTAAGGTACAGCCCTGCAGGTGGAAGCTCTTCCAAACACCCTCCTTTTGGTCCTGCTTTGGTTTGTCTGTATAGTGAGCTGTTCCCTAAACCCAGGGGCTGCTTATTCTTAGCGAGGGAGCCCTTACCATCAGGCTACACAGCTATGCTGCCTTTTAACCAAAGGGTTATTTCAGCATTTGGTTTCTACCAAAGTGCTGTTAAAATAGTTTCACTTATTGCAGGACCACAAACATCTGTTAATTATGGGTCTGGGGTTTATTTATTTATTTATTTAAATAGCTAGGTCTTATTGACCTTCACTTAAGCACTTTTGAATATTTTACCCCATATAAAGACTGCTGTGTTGAAAAGTGCTGACAATTACCATCATGGGAGTCTTGTATTCAAAGAGAGTTTGCAGACCTCATTAAGCCAATGAGCTTGCCAAGTCCACTCTTTTCAGTTCAATGAAACTTAAGTCCCTTCATATAGCAAACCAGCTGCTAGCAATGTAGGCTGCCTGACATGGGCAGGGAAAGCTAAGCTCACCCAGGGAGACTTGTCTGTTTTGGTACCAGAAGACACTGACTCACAAAGGGAGCTGTGAGAAGAACCCTAAAATGCAGCAGGATGACAGAGGTTTTTCAACATAGGGCTGATCAGTGAAGCAGTCAAGATCTCTGAGCTAGATGAAAGTCTCGTCTCCTGGTTATCTTGTGTCACAGGAAACACTATTTCTGTACAGTCTCTGTCAAGAAGCATAGTTAAAGTGATAAATCTTGACCAATGAAGAGCAAGACTGGCAAGGTTTTCCTAGCCCAGCTAGGGATGGACTACCATGCTGCATCACGTCATTGAGAATTCTTGTCTTGCATGCAGAAGAAAAGCAGATTTTTGAGACGTTTGGAGAAAGTAAGATAAGCAAAACCAGCTCTTTGAAGAGAGGTAAGATGCTGTAGGCATTCAACAGATCAAAATGCTAGACTACATATTTGCATACTAAATATGGAGGTAGGAGAATGCCTCAGGCTAGGCAACAGTGTTTCTATACTTTTCAGCTGTGTATGAAGGGACGACTGCGGGCACCCCTGTACATCAGTTTGAGTGAAGCAGATCAATCTTACATTATCACACTAATATGCACAGGGCAAGAGTAGTTTAGAAGCTTTCATTCTAATAGAAGTGAGAAGCATAGTAGCATTGGTATTCCATCAGGGAACTCAGAAATAAGAAGGCAATGCACAGATGCACAAAAGAGTTTAGACTGCTGAATTCAGTGCTGTTTAGGCACTTTTTATCTGTGAGGGAAAGGAAAAGCTGTGAAAATACATGACAGGTTGTTATGATCTGATTATTGAGAGATGCCTCTGCCTCAATTAAGATGGAGATGAGACCATATGCTGAAGTAAATAGTATGAATTTTATTTAAAACTCCATCCTTTCCCTTGGTTCTGTCATCCTCAGCTCAGGATGTTTTCAAATGAGTATTTTCAAAGGGCAAGTCTCCTTTCCACTCAACTTGCACTGAAGTTATAAAGATGAACCCTCACATTAACTCAGCACAATTCCTCAAGATTTTTTTGGTCAAACCCACTCTACTATATTTAGGACTCTTTCTAAATTTGTATTCTACCATGCATCCTTGCAAGCACTAATCCAGTATAAAACCCAGAAGCTGCCCAAACATAATTCCCAAGGGGGATATAAGTGAATACCTCACTATGGTATGGCCATTAACAAGTTTTATGGAAATAAGAAAATGATACAAGATTTGCTCTGAAACAAAAATATATGATAAAATTTCCTAGTGAACATTTTTGAGACATTGTGTTGATATTTAATTTACAGTTTCCTAGTGTTTATCTCTTCAGGTGGAATTTTACATATTAACCATTGGTAGAACACACCCCATTTTGTAATTCCCTTATCTTACTTAAATAGGGGACAGATAGCAACTTCTATATGTGCTCACACCTTGCTAATAGAAAACAGTGATGTATTGAAAATTTCCTTATCACCTTCAGTTTCCATACAGGTGTTCTTGGTGATAAACTACTGAATGATATAAACAGTGATTTCAGGTAAAAAGTAACCACTGGTCAAGAGGAAAGGAAAAAACAAACCTACCAAAAATTAAACCCATTTCGCAAGTAGGATTTGGAACTGAAAATTATCAAATACAAGAGCATAAGTGTGAATTTTTTCGCTGTGTCTGTGAAGCACAGAATCCCTTGGACTTCCCTTTAGTAATGCTTGCTCTCACTTCTCACAACTTCTCTTCCATTTTGAGATAATCTTGACGGGCAATTCACAGATATGATAAGGAACTGTATGATATTCCCTTAGTTTTACCCAATGATAATATTCAGTCTGTCCACTGGCAGATTTGTCTCCAAGGGGTGTTATCACAGGACAGCTGTTCTACCGTTATTCCTGAAAAACAGCAGTAGGAGAGTAATTCTGGAAGAAGAATTACTGAGCTAGCTAGATTGATTTTCAGCTGAACTGTTATTATTCCTGTGATTGTTCTTTTATGATGAACTAGAGATCATTTAAACATATTTAAATTAGCTAAACAGTGTTGCTGCCATTGTGCAATGAGTATATTGAATCACCTCAGATCCACAGAATATTGTAAAAGTTTGTGTTCTGTATTGTCTTTGGTTATTTTCATTTTTGTATTCCAAAGAAAACTTGTATTCTCTAACCGTTACTAATTTCTGCCAAATGGACCACTAGCAGCCTAAAAAAGAAGCAAATGCACACTTGTTGTAAAAGTGCATGGCCAAATCTTTGCACCTGTGAAGGCCACAGCTTTCTGGACAAGGTCATTAGGGACAAAACTGGAAACCCCAGTATGTGATGATGTTTTTGAAAATCCAGCCTCTCATTATTTTCCACCATCTGCATTAATTATCCAATAATGGGATCAACTAAGATTAGTAATACATAAGCCCCTTCATGAAATGCAGAGGAATAGACTATCAGTTCAACAGAAGCAGGAATTCAAACATACATTTAATTTCACAAGAAACATTCCAAGATTGTCTCTCAGGCTTTCTCCACAGCAACACAGACTGTGCTCCCTGCCAGGACAGGACTCTGGCTTTGTATTTATTATTGATGTGCCACTAACAGACTGTGTTAGTCTGTTACTGTGCACACAGCCAGGCAGACATCACCGTCACTGGACAAGAGCACCAGACTCCTTAGTCTAAGGGGCAACGCTGCCCTTCTCTTATCAATTCCCTTTAAAGTTTTTGCCACCTTACAAGGAATAAAAGGTACTTTCAAAAAATGGTCCTTTTGCTTTTTGCTTGAGGGGAAAAAGGTTTGTTGTTTTTTTTGGTTTTTTTTTTATTTTCTCAGTGGCTAATAGATAATTTCTCTAGGACTAATGGAGTCCTGTTGAGCAGGGAAATCCATCTTTCTCAGATTTTGGAGGTATCTTTTTGTGTTTAAAAACGTTAACAATGTCACACCTATCAAATTTCTCTCCTATTTCTGCCTCACATGATTTCTGTAATGGTTTTATGCCCCAATTATGTCTTCCATTTCTTGGTGTCTACCGACTTCTGAAACTTGGAGCGAGACACCAGGCTGATAAGTTTGGTTTGGGTTTTTTTGCCTGCCTTTTATCAAAGCCAGCCAACAGTTTAAAAAAAGTAATCATGAATATTTTCCATAAGGTCAAATGTTGTCTGAATAGCTTTCTTTTGGCATCTACAAGAGTTACCAAGTTAAAGGCAGAGATTTCAAAGCCCAGAATGTGTGAATTAGTAATGGCATGATTCAGCAGATCTTAGGTTTCCAAAGCTTCCAGTTTCTCAGTAAGAGATGTGGAGTCCTAGTACGTAGGCACATCATGCCACTACACAGCTGGACAGCATCCTTACTACATCTACTTAGCACATATTCCTTTCTCAAACCCTCTTATAGAGGGTTCTTCACTCAAGGTGGATGGCAGTAGGACTTTAAATCACAAGCATCACTGGCAGAGTAGTTTTCTGAGGGCAACTGTACAGAATATCCAATATATCTTGATTATTCCTAAGCATTCTTGATAAGTGTCAGATATGCTTAACACTTCTCAATAAAGCTTTTCATAGGAATAGGACCCCATATAATTTAACATGCATTAACCAAAATGGAGTAAAGCTCTTGAAGTGTCTTTGCATTCTTGAGATTTGTTGCCTTATTTTTATTTGGATTGCCACAAGCAACCACATAGGTATTTTTTGTTCTCGTTGCAGTTCTTGCAACATGAGTATTGGCTGTGGATTGTGCCTCGAACATCACCACCACCAGTTCTGTCTCATGTCATTGACTTTTCCTTACTTTGCTCAGTCAGGGTCCAGTTGGATGCCACCATGTGTCAGAGTCCACGAGGAGGCCTGGGGTCTGAGAGTGGATTCTCATGAGAAAGACAACAATGTGAACAGGAAATGTCCCATCAGGAATCCTTTCTCGGGACAGGCTCCTGTGGAAAAGAACAAACCCTTATTGTCACTATTGCAGCTTTAACTTCATATTCTTGTGCTCATCCTTTGATTCATTCCCTCTCCCCCCACTCTATTCCCATCCGATGGGTGGGAAACAGGATATTTTGTGAAATTCTTTCCTTCCTGTGTGGGCCTACATGGCATCTTTAATTAGCAACTCTCTGCAATGTAAGTGAACAATTAAAAAGCACAACTGTCCTGCTGAGGAGATCATAATACAGTTGCTTTTTGAACAGGTATTTAAGGCATCACTTTCTGTCATTTACAAAGATCATTGATGTTATTATTTAAAAATATCACACACGAAAAAAAAATTTAAAACACTTCCTTACATAATGAGTGGTGAGGAAGAGCTTTACAAACATTGTCTGTCTTTGTGTCCCACTGGAGAAACTGTGATGCAAAAGAGTGATGGGAAGGAGACCTCTGCCTGCTTCCATGGACAGAGCTTCAGCGTGCTGGAACATGCCATTTCACCTGGAATGAGCAGGAACACTTGTTTCATTAATAACTTGACCCAGGAGCCGAACAGAGTAACATGTCCTTCTATAGACACCCACTGTGGTTGAAAAGATTTTTCTGAGGGTGGGATTTGACACTATGGAGGTACAGACAGCAGTGCCGCTTTGGAAAGAGATCAAAGTAGAGACGAGCCTGGCACACTCAGAGGACCTGAAACTGATCCTTACTTACCTAGTTCCATAGATTGGTAGGTGTAAAATGCTATTAAGTCTCATCTGGCAGGACTGTCCTTAAATACCAGCAGTCCAAGTGATAGCACTCAACTTCTGGATGTCCTATAGGGTTGACCTATCCCTTTGTCCCACACTCACCATGCTGAAATTTTCTTTTCCCACTGGTATGACTCTACAGCCCCAGAGGACATTAAGAGGATCCTTCTGTCTGATTTTCTTTCTTTCTTTTCTTTTTTTTTTTTTTAATTTGAATATCTGATGTTTTACCTGGCACCTGGGAAAACTCATTTACAACACTACAGAACAGCATACACTCATTTTGTGAAAACAAAGAGTAACTACACTATGGCACTCCAAAATTTGGGGCTATGAACTAAGAAAACTGCAGAACAATGTACGGGGTTGTGCAATTACTAAAATATCAGTCTTTCATATCCCAAAAGTGTCTGAAGGTTGGCTTGCAAACGTGTAGGATCTCACCAGGCTGTACATCAGATCTGAGAAGAGTCTCATAGATAGAAATAAGAAGATTTTTTTTTCATGCTGAGCCTGGGCACCAAATATCCCAACCACTCTCTCATGTTGTCACAGCAACAAGTTTGTCCACAGCCACTTCGCAATATAAAGCAACTGGAGGCTGATTTTCATACAGATCTAATCATGAACCAAGAATGTGCTTGGTCATATTCATACTGGGACTGCATGTCCTAAGTGAAGTTTGTACACCACGATAAATTGGCTTGCAGTTGAAAATAGAAACTGCTATGAGTAATGACTGAACCTGTAACTCTGCACAAAGATTAGTGTGTGAATATTGCTAATGGCATTAAGTGTCTTTATCACATCTTGTAAAGTGTTATCAATCAAACTACAGGTGTTAAGCAGGTAAAAGCTCTAGTTTGAGGCAATAGATAAGAACTTTTCCCTTGAATCTTAAACACTGCTTCCTACTAGAGCTTTCCTGAGAGAAAGTGTCAGGATATCAAAGGAAAAGGAAAGATTCTTTTTTTTTTTTTTTTTTAGGCCTTGGGGCAGAAGAGGGAGGGATTTTGTAAACAATTTTAGGAGAAGCGTTATTGACCTATCAGAATGACTTCAAATACCAATCTCTTCCCAAATCACAACCAGATGTTTATTATATTTACAATAGAATCTGCCTTTTTTTTTTTTTTTTTGTAAATAACAATTTGCTAATAATATTAACAGCTCTGCTTTGTAAACTTGTGAAGTATAGGTGGAAAGAGAAATAAGCATATTTGAGCCACGTAGCTTTATCATATACCATAGGCACTCACGGACCTTGTTTGATGTACTGGGATCTGATGCACATCGCTTGGCTTGCTCCCAGCAAGTGTTATGCATATTTAATACATAGAAGGTAAAGAAATCAATTTCAAGGCTATAACTGAAAGCCACTATAAAACTGCACTATTACTGCTATGCTGTAAATTACACATGTTATTGATTCCTCCAGCCTCTTTTACAAGCGAGGTGACTTGGTGGATTGGGGCCTCAGCCCTTTATCTGCGTTCAGACTCCGCCTGAGGAATCTGGTGGCCTTACTCTGAGCCTGCATTCGGGTACATTATAAACCCACCAGCCTGCTCAGGGCTCCTGCAAAAGCAGGCTCTGCAGAAAGGGCTGAGATACCTCCACAGAGCCACACAAAGAAACTCTCAGAGCTGGACCCCCATTCTCTTTTAAAATGCATATATAATCCTTCCTGCAAGGACAGAAACAGCTGCATTTATAGGAAGGAGAAAGAAGATACCTATACCTGGTTTTAGTCTGAACCACAAGTTTGTATTTTTGACTGAAAATCTGTCAAAAGAATGACCAAATTTTTTTTCTGAAATGAAAATTTTTTTCTGAAACAACTTTATACTTTCTTCCTAATACAAGAAAGAGAGGGAATTACCAAAAGAAAGATGTATGTAAGAGTTAGATGTCCTAAACAACTCAACACCAGGGGGAGAAGTAAAAGTCATTTTCACTTCTGTAGTTAGTCAGAGGCTTCAACTCATATTTTGAGGCAGACAAGCTCTTTGATAGTAATTTTACAATCCGGGAAGAGAGGCAGGGATGTACCCAGGGACATTATTTGGGGTAGGCACTAGAAAGCAGAGGACAGAAACTTGGCTTCAAGTTGCAGTTTTGAGTTCCAGCTTGCCAACCTGAACTCTAAACCATGGAAACTGCAAGCCAAAGCCAATCCTGAAAACAAACAAAAAACCAAAACATTAAAAAGAGTGCTAGGTTAAAGCTCTTCAAAATCCTGCACATATAAACTGATACCGAACTATCTACCTCCTAACACAAACGACTGCAGAAGAAACAAAGCCAATCTCCTCATTTTTAAATGAACTGATTTTGTCAGGATTTCAGCCAGAACTTGAGTGTACTGTAGGTTCAGTTAAAACTTTTTAAATAGTTATCTCATATTGCAGTGATCATTCCCAGCAGCCCCTCAGCTATCACAGAGAGTGTTATGGTATTTTTCTATCTAATGGTATAAGTCTATTCAGAAAGGCAATGCCTCTGGAAAGTTGAGAATTTTTTCTGTCTCCAAACTGAGAGTGGATCAAAACGCAAACTGACTCTGAGCCCTTTAGATGTTGGAGACAATAGCCCTGGACTTGTCAACCCAGTTTGCAGCTGTACCATGGTGTGGTCCAGATATGGACCAGATGCACTAAGAAATATATACCAGATAATTTACTCCATTTACCACGCGAACTTAACAGTAGTAGTTTAGCCCCTGAACTGAATAGTGCAACCTCAGTTACCAAGATTGACTGACTGGAGTAATTGAAGTGATCTTACTTAACGTTTGCCTTAAATGATCTGGCAGTCTGATTCAGATAAGATTTCAAACAGTCTCTGTGCTTTTGATCTCAAATTACCTTCAGGATTAACTCAAGCTTGGTTCAGACACAGTAAAAAAAATATCTCGATTATGTCTTACACCGTAACCACGCTCAAGCCCTCTTCCCGATTCCACCAGCTTAATTAAATCTCCTCTCAACCCAGTTGTGCTAGGGATGGTCTGAACTGTAGGACAGTGCTGGGAAGCTGAGGGGGAGAAGCAAGACAGCATCTACAGAAACTTCTGTGGCTGAAGAGTGGTGGCAGGAGGGAGAGTCCTCTCTGCCTCTTTTTCTAAATGCTGAGATTTGACACATGCTTTCTTATGTCTCTGGTACACAAAGAAAAGTGTCTGTGAGCAATAAGATCAAGAGACAACATGTCTTTTCAGCACAAGTGACATTAAATTAATTTATACAAGACACCGGTCAAAACCCATTTCTACCACTGAAACCTCAAAGCAAGACTGAGACTTTAAGGAGCTTTTCTTCTGCTTTCTGTTCACTTCACAGGACTGCTTCAGACAGAAACGCTTCTAACATTTTGAAGGCACACTACACAAGTACGATTTCTTTTAACATAAAAAGACCCATTTTGTTATAAGTATTTGCTTTTAGCAGCTCTGTTCCTTTGTGCATTCCTTTCCCAGGTAGAGCACAGGTGCTTCAGGGCAACTCTAAAGACAATTTTCAACAGTGGCTTAGGAGCCTAGCTACTGGTTTTCTAAACAATATGCCAACTAAGCAGACACACAGATGCCTGTTAGAATCAAGTTACTTCTGTAGCTAACCTCATACAATAAACTCTCCCAGGCAGCTTATTTACAACCTGAGGGAAAAATACACCTTTGAAAATGGTTTTCTAAAGATATTCTGGCTCACATTTCTCTGTTCATGCTTGGGCTTTGTGGTATTAATTCTGAGTTTTAAAAATGAGGGAGGTAGCTAAGCTCAGGTTTCTAAAAGTACATAGGTGTGAATAGCTGCAGACGTGTGCACTGGTACCTCAGTCTTGCTGAAATCTCTGCCTATGATTTGCAGCCCTCTATTTATCATTTACCCTTTGCTACTGTTGAAAGAAGCAACGCGTAAAGACTTTGACAAAGCTGTTCCTAAGGAGCAAGATTACTTTAGAAGGTGATTTGAGGTTCTTAATTCCCTTAGAAATGCTCCACATTTTTTACCTCAGGTCTACAGAAGTGTTTGTGTATCACCTCAAACCACAGAGCCTGATTTTGATTAGGCTGTGGGTACCACTGCTAGGTTATTGTTTTAAGATAGCATCATGGAAAAACTTCAGTTATAACTTAATTAATTCAAACACTATCATTAGTTTTGAATGGAAGCATTTTATCCAAGCAAAGGATCACCCCTGAGTGACTGTATTTGTACTGCAGAACCACCACAGCTCTAGGGTTCAGCTAAGGTCTGCAGTCAAAGTTATTGCATTAACACTTATGTTATACTGCTGCCTACAGGTCCATATTTAAAATTAGGGTGTTATACTAACTTATGTTTAAACAAGGCTCCTGTTCCAAAGCTTAGAAAACAAGCAAGATAAGAAAGGTATCAGAGAAGCTGAACCCATTTTAACTTCTCTTGGTTATGTTTGTGTATGTAATTGAATGCATTTCTTCCACTGCCCTGAAGCCACTACAGAGGGGCTGGTTTTGGAGTAGAGCTGTGTATGGGAAAGCAATTTAAAAGGAAGAAAGGGATTATGGTATTGTGTGTATTAGGGGTGCTGTGGAGGAAAGCACAGCGATACCTAGAATTGCAGCCCTTCACATAACAGACAGGTAGGGAGGGATCTGACGGTTTTTCCTGTGGTGTTTGTTGCAAACTGCGATTTCCACTTGTGGAAACTGCACATTTTCTAAAGCAAATGTCATATATATTTTGAGGTTGGGCACAGATT